TCCATCTATCCCCTTCCTCCGTCTCTCCCCTCCTCCTCCATCCTCATCCTCCGTCTCTCCCCTCTTCTTCTTCCTCCATCTCTCCCCTCCTCCCCCCTCCTCTTCCTCGTCTCCTTATCTCAGTGTAAGGATTCCAGGGTAAAGCTTGTTATGGGGGAAGGGCAGTTGTTCAGGGATTGGCTGGGAATTTTCTGCCCAGGGCTCTAGAACCCCCATGGGGGGCATGTACTGAGTGCCGTCCCCATGGGTTTGTTCTAGAGCGGGGTGGCTGCATCATGGGCCTCCGGAACGTGGGGGTGCAGGGGGAGGAAACAGGCTCTAGAACGTGGGAGGTGCTGGCGAAGGATGCAGGTGGCCTGGGGTCACCGTGGCCTGGGGCTCTAGAATTTGGGGGGCAGGCAGGTGGCAAGGGGGGGCTCCAGAATGAGGGGGCCCCGTGGCCTGGGGCTCTAGAGTGTGGGGGAGGGGTGCATCCTGGTTTCCACCGTGCAGGGATCCCCGCATCCCAGATCAGTGAGAGCCGTTGGGTGCGGCCCCAGCGCACCTCCCTGCAGCGAGCCTGTCCTTCCAGTGGGCGTGTCCAGGGACAGACCCCGTCCTCCATCGCTTTCCCATCCTGCAGCCTCCAGGGGATCCGGCTCCGGCTTCCCTTGCTGTTGGATTCCCCAGCCTGGACTTTTTATCCTTAACATTATTTCTGTCCCCAGGCCGATCTGCCGCCTTCCCTGCCATCTGAGGCACTTTTGCCTTTCCCGAGAGACTGGAGGCTGGCATGTCAGCCCGATGGCTCACGCTCGAGCCCTGCTCTGGGCGTAGCTAGAGACGCCCCCTTTGCCCTCAGAGCAGCTGCTGCCCGGGCAGAATCAGCAGAGACACACAGCCAGGAAAGCCTGGGGCAGAGCCTCCGCTGGCGTAGCTCCATTGGCTCTAAGGGAGCTAGGACCATTTACACCCGCTGTGGAGCTACCTCCCTTTGTGAGCGTGTGTGAGTGTCTCCGTCCATCCGTGTGTGTGTCCATGTGTGTGCGTGAGCGTCTCTCCGTCTGTGTGCGTCCGTGTGTGTCTCCGTATGAGTATGTCTCTGTATGTGTCTGTCTGTGTGCGTCCGTGTGTGTGTGTCTGTACATGTGTGTGTACCCGTCTGCGTGTGTGTGTGTGTCTGTGTGCATGTCCGTGTGTGAGCATCTCGCCATTGGTGTGCATCCGTGTGTATGTCTCCATCCGTGTGTGTGTGTCCGTGTGTGCGTCTCCATCCGTGTGCGTGCATGTCTCTCCATCCATCCATGTGAATGTCTCCGTCCGTGTGTGTGAGTGAGTGTGCGTGGCTGTCCGTGTG